TATATATATATATATATATATATATATATATATATATATATATATATATATATATATATATATATATATATATATATATATATATATATATATATAAGGATAAATATTAAAGAAAGGTGTATGATGCATCCAATTGTTGTGTGGATTTTTTCCTTTTATATTTAGTGAGGCTGGGATCATTGTTAATCAAAGTTGAGATTAAGAGTGAGACTGCTTAAATTTGTAGGACATGTCATTAATTTGTTATCTGTTGTGCTAAAATGCCAAATTTTGGTGGGGAAATAAACTTATGATTTATAATATCTCGCTTTTACTCCAAAATGATCTATTTTGATCCAAGAGTACAAATAGATGAAGCAAAGGGTGTCAAAAGCTTATGACCTATGGCGATACGAATGAAATGGTTCGGTAAAGGGAATGATGCGATAATAAAATCTAATATAAATAACCCAATTAAAAACCCCAATCTAACTAGTGGGATCATGTGCTGCCAAAATTTTATACTAAGGTCTTACATTTTAAAGGTTGACCTGAATGAGGTCAACGATCTCTCGATCTCTTTTATATCACTCGGATTATTTGATTATTTTCGCATATGTTCAGGATGGTTGATATTCTTATATATATATGTCTGATTTTTAGTTTTGATACTTATAAGGGACCATTTGGTTGGTCGATCATTAGTACTGTCCGTAGGCTCGTGAGAAATTATTAGCTTTGGGCGATAGGTGTATCCACACGGTTTTATCCTTTCGAAGCATGTGAGCTCCAAAAAGCATCTATGAGAGTAAGGGAGATCCGACGGACTTATGAGCCCTTGGTTCCCATGCTCCTCAACCAATGTGAGACTAACTGGTCTTATCAGTACTCCCTCCCATAGGGAAGCTAAGGGCTCGGGAGTGAGTTTGCTCAGCTAAGGTACAGGCATCGGACCCTCCTTCTAACGCCAATTTAATAAGGGATAATTTGGTCAACTGGCCATTGGTGCAGCTCGTAGGCTCGCGAGGAATTATCCGCTTTGAGCAATGGGCGTACTCGCATGGTTTTATCCTTTCGAAACATGTGAGCTCCAAAAAGTACCTCTTAGGGTAAGGGAGACTCGGTGAACTTATGAGTCCTTAGTTCCCATACTCTTCAACCAATGTAAGACTAACTGGTCTTATCATTGCTCTCTCTCATATGGGTGCCAAGGGCTTATAACCGAGGTGCATGGCTCGGGAGTGAGTTTGCTCAGCCAAGATACAGGCATCGGGCCCTCCTTCTAGCGCCAATCTAATAAGGGATAATTTGGTCGATCGGTCATTAGTGCAGCTCGTAAGCTTGCGATGAATTATCCGCTTTGAGCAATGGGCGTACTCGCACGATTTTATCCTTTCGGAGCATGTAAACTTCAAAAAGTGCCTTTGAGGGTAAGATCATTTAGTCCCACATTGGTTGAGAAGTATGAGAATCAAGGATTCATAAGTCCACGAGATCTCTCTTATCTTTAGAGGTGTTTTTTGGAGCTCATATGTTCCGAAAAGATAAAATCATATGGGTATGTCCATCACCTAGAGCAAACAATTCCTATTATCCCTTATCAAATAATTGTCCATATGTTCCGAAAAGATAAAATCATAAGGGTTGTAGATGATGTTATGATGTATGAATTTGTTGATGGGTATGTCCATCACCTAGAGCAAACAATTCCTATTATCCCTGATCAAATGTTCATATGTTTCGAAAAGATAAAATCTTTAGAGGTGTGTTCTAGAGCTCATGTGTTCCAAAAAGATAAAATCATAAAGGTTGTAGATGATGTTATGATGTATGAATTTGTTGGTGTTTAATTCTAATAATGATTTATTCTCAAACTAAAGGATCGATTAATTAAGTTAGCAAAAAGTTTAAGAGGTTAATTCGGAGAGTCTAACCAAAACAAAAAAAAAAGACTCAGATACATCTTACAACTGTTGGATGCATCATCCAACCGTTGGATTTAAGGTTTCGGTCTCACTAATCTCGAACACCGTCTTGGATCACTAAATGTGATGGTGTTCAAGGTATATTCTACAGCAGATTGCCTCCATTTTCGCCCAGATCAATGTATAACCTACAGCATCCATGACGACTTATTCTCGTCTCATCCGAGCTACCGATCCATGGCGGTCAAAACTTGGTGCAGTGTCCTTATTACATCAGTGTGAGGAAGCGTCGTCAGAGGTTTCAGACGTCGGAAAAATGAAGTCTCATATCTGTACGAGAGATTTTGATGGATCTCTGTATACCTTTCAGCGTTGTAAACGTCTCTTCCTTCTGCTGTTTTGGGTCCTGTAGTTGGCACCGACCAAGCCAGGCTCATTTATTTCCTTTGACGAGAGAACCCTCGTTTCGGTCAACGAGCTTTGGCTGCCTGCGCCTGTCGGTAGAAGTCGACGGTCTTCTACGTGGACGGCAGGAAGGTGACATGGATGTACTCGTTCCATTAATTTTTAATAATATATTTTATAAAAATAAATTCCGCAAAAAAAATCATTATTTTCCCCTTTTTCCTATTAGCACCTTTATTTTATTTATTCTATTTAAAAAAAAAAACCCTTAACCATTGTCTCGTTACGTGAGGAAACCTTACTTGCCCTTGTTGCTACTTGCCATGCCACCATTAGCACGTCCCTCACCTATACCCTCTAGTTTAAGTGCGACATCGATTGCTCAACATTCCTCTCGTTACCATTATGTTGTTGAACTTTGCAACTATAATAATACGAATGCTCTTTGATATCCATCGTCATGATCATCTTTGTCACTAATCTCCCCTCTTCGTAGCAAATTCAACCTTGTCATCACTGTAGCATTGTTGACCTATGCATTTGTTGGCTACAGTGTGTGTGATATTTTTGATGTACTTCAATGCTCCTAGCACAAGTCTCAATCGTTTTATCATAGATAAAGCTATAAACAAGATGTTGGATGTAATGCTTATATATGTTAGTCGGTGTCTTCTTGTTTTGCTTATGCTTTACATTGCTTATAGATAACTTATTGTCATCGCTTCATTAGCCTCCTCATCCTACTAATTAATCATAATCTTTGACTCCCTCGAGAAAAAGATTACATTTCGACAAGTTCACTATAAATGACGTGGAGACAGCATATGGCAATGGTTGACAGGACGAAAAATAAAACTAGGAGTTTTTTTTTTGGGTAGTATTTGCCCTTTATAAAATTCGTGTAATAATAAGATACATTTCCGAGTAAAGAGAAAACTTAAAGCTGATGAGATTTCTTGGCTTGCAAGGACTTGTTAGTGGGATTGCTTTCCCAGAGAGACAGGTAATCAATCTCGTAAGCTTGTCGCTGTTAAATATAACACGATCATTGATTACAGATCATAACCCAAACACAAGACGATGCGACTTTTGTTTAGCGCACGCCTCTTGTCACGCGCCCATAACGACTCCAATCTCTTACTTACACTTACTCGTCCATCATATACATTTCTATTATTCAAGTCCAAAAGCCTGCCATGCCATGCCATGTCCGACTTCTCTTGTGACGTTATACTGGAAAGACGGACACACATCATTACCGCACTTGCACTTGCAGAACGCGATATGGCGTATGAATTACTCGAATAATTCAACCCCTGTTTTTTTTCTTATTTTTCTCACTTTTTTTTTGTTGAATAATACATATATATACCTCTCTTTTTTGCAATAAAACATATAAATATAATATAATGGCATTATGTCAAAAACAAAAAAACACTCAGAAACTGCCAAATTGCAACGCCTTCGCATCGCGCCGAACCAAACACGAGCTTAGTTAGTTAGAAGGGCGATTAATGACCGAACAACGTTGCGATCACGGCGGTGGTTGCGCTCACTCGAGGTGAGAATAACGTCCTTCTCACCGCACTCATTGATGGTCCCAGTTCTTCTCACATCAAAGAGATTAAACGCGAGGTCGAGAAGAAAGACCATGGAAAGGGAAAAGCTACCATCGATTCCGAGGAGAAGCAACATTAAGATAAAAAGCTAGCCTTTTTGCGAGCCTTCGCCTTTCCGATTGGGTATGGAAAATGCAATCTTTGTTACGAGGTCTACCACCGGGAGGCCCACAGAAGGAGAGCCTGACAGGGCAAAAGCAAAAAGGAGGAGGAGGCGCACGGCTGCTGCGGACCCATTCAGGTGACGAGGTAGATGGGCATCGCCGGTGGGACCGCGGCGTGGGTCGAGGCGCGGCGGCCGTCGACGAAGCTGAGGTCCCTGAGGCTGAGGTAGGCAAGCCCCGCCGCATCAGCGCCGACCTCCGCCGCCGTAAGCGGGCCGGAGCTCGGGCGGCTGGTGCGGCGCCCCCCGCCGCAGCTCTCCGTCGCGTATATGGGTCCCGAGACCGCCGACCGGTGGGCGTTGTGGGGCCGCTGCTGCGAGCAGCGCTGCTCGTCGGCTTCGGAGCTGACCTTGGGACGCCTCCAGAAGAGGAAGGCGGACTTCCACCAACCGCGGCGGCGCTTCTTGGACTTGGCGTCGTCTTTGGAGATGGGCTTCTGGAGCTTGCAGTGGAGGGAGTCGAGCGGGCGCGGGTCACTGCGCTTCGAGTGCCGCCGTGCCTCCTCCAGCACCTTCTCCTCAGGGCAGGCAAAACACACACCCATCAAAAACACGCCGGCGAAGAAAGAGTCAATGCAACGAAAGCAGACGAAGGAGGCAGCAGCGCGTTCATACCTGGAAGTAGTCCATCTGGGGATCGAAGCCGTAGTCGCTGTAGTGGTTGGCCTCCGGCGTCATCGGAAAAACTGGAGACTTGTTCATCTTGCTTCCTCCCAAGGGAGACGAAGAGGCGCAAGGCGAAGGGCTTCCGAAACCCCTGTGTCTCATTTAAGGCAGGAAGGTCGCATGAACGCCCTTACGATCGACGTTATTTACCTAAAAGCCACCGTTGTCGGACCCGTTGCAGGGTTCGTCCCGCTTGTAGGAGAATCGGGAAACGCTATGTGTGGGTGGAACCGTACCTCACTTGCGAGGTTGATACCAAAGACATGGCCCAGTGAACGAAAAATTACCATCGGTGCTCTCTGTGGGGCCCGGCCATCTCATGGGCCCGGTTTGACTCCCTGAGCGGTGGTACATTGACCACTGTATACAATGGATCATACCCAACAATCTTAAAAATGTAAGACTGTTCTTAATATTTATTTTGGACATAAATAGATAGATAGAAGTTTCAAGGCGTGGAAGAGAGGGGAGGGGAGGGGAGGGGAGGGGAGGCAACATTGCGTGCCATGCCTGGCATAATAATAAGGGCAGTGGCACCTCCACGCACACCTTTTAATTCCCTTGGTCTGCATGCATTCATTGTCGCATGCGTTTGTGCATGAGAACAAGATTGGTGCGTCCACTTGAGAGGGCCCTAAGAGAGAGTCCCTTTCTCGTGACCTACCAACTTACAATAACCTTAGCTTAGCAGACCTATGTTTACATGCAACATTGCTTCTCTCTCTAACTGAAGGTAAAATTTATCGCTACTTAGTTGCGTGGGTCGCTGAGATAGATCTCATTACTGTTTGTGATGAGGGCAAGAGGAGGGAGGAGGGGGGGAACGTGGGATGGCTTTGAGCCTTTTGTCCCACCGTATGTCATTATCTCTGCAATCTCAGATGTGTTGGGGTATTAGATGTCATGTCCCTGTTGTCGTTATGATAGCGTCTACCATGTCGTAGCATGATGAGATCCATGTTTTAACCATCAACTGAGATGTATCACTTGAATGAGTAGCAACGAAGAAGAATAAACAAATAAAGGAGAATTAGGTTGGATGTTCGGAACATGAATGAACACTTGATCATACATCTTCACCTTCTTTTGCAACTTTCTAATTATCGTCCTCCATCTTTGATCATTAAATCTGATTAATACAATAGATGATAAATAAACGATAGCTACTTCCGAAGCTAAACCTCACGCTTGCTTTGGACAATCTAAGTTTATAATAGATTTTACGATCCCAATTAATTGGTTAAGAGATACTCAGGTTCTAAGAGAAGTCCACCTATGTTAAGATATTTTAGGAGATGACTTTGATACGATAGACTTTCTTAATTATCTTTCTTCAACTTTATGCTCTTGCATATATATAGACAAGAATTTTTAGAGATAATAAGATCATATATTTCTTCTCTAACCTTCCAATAAATCCCTACTCCATCAATTATCGTGGTCCTAAAAATAGAAAGAGAGAAGAATAAGAGTTTAGTTTAGATTTACGATGATGCGCGTAGGTCATCATATGTTGTTTCATAATATCCAATATTTCTTATTGATTATCATGTTCAAGAGTTACTTAACTTTTGTTTTCGACTTACGATACTTTTGATTACAATCATAGTATAATCTTTATTTTTGCTTACACTATGGGCTCATTTCATCCTCCTCTTCCTTCTTTCTCCCACACATCCTCTCTTTAATCCTATTCCTCCACCACCTCTTCTTTCTTCTTTTCCCTTCTACGTTACCCTTTTCCTTCTTAGGCTTCTTTCTCCTCTTCCTCTACGTCTCCTTTTTCTCTCTTTTTATTCTTCATCCATCACTCCTTACTCTGTTTCTCTAAACATCGATATGTATTAGTGTTTCATATATTGATATATATACTAATCTGAGTAAATTACTAAAACTATCCAACACCTAAAGCGATGATCCTTGCCTGCCCTACCGATAATATTAGATCTATGTATGATTTTTATACGCATGTGATCTATAATCTTGTAACCAGATCCAGAGATGATGCTGGCGACAAATAAAAATCTTAGATTGGTGTCTCTTCTCTTCGTCTCGGTTGTCTCTTCGAGGCCTCAAAGCTCTGCAGCAAATTTCCACTACGGCCCAGTCAATCAATCCCCAACCCGGATTGCTCCAACATGACATAGTTTAATCCTTATGTAATGTCAATAGCTGAAGTCGTGATGATGTCAAGCGGAGAGTTCGACTCACATTTTCGTACAAGCCCACGTCGACGACTTGCTCTACTACCAATCTCGCGTTTGACGACGTATCGGTACATGAATGGCGTATCTGATGGTCGCCACTTCCCATCCGTAGGGCAGCGTCCTCACTGTTCAATGACACGTCAGCTGCCAGTCAGTTGACCAAAAAAACCTACTGTGGTCTCTTGCTCTTATACACGACAAAATAGATGCTCCGAATCTATACTAAAATAAGAAAAGAAAACATATGTATCCATGTCGTCCAAGAGAAAAGAAATGGATTGTGGCACCCCCATGTGATGCGCTTCAGCTGCGCACAACCCTAGATAGAAGAGAAGAGCCAGAATCCAGGCGTGGGCCATGTATGGCCTGAGGTCAGACAGTTTGGCTTGCCTCGTCAAGATCGGCATCTGCATCTATTGTTCTTCCTCCTTCTTCTCCTCCTCCACCACGTCAACTACACCGTCCTCCTGTTGCAGAGGAAGATGGCAAGCTTCAACGGAGCAAGCCTGAGTAGCGCTCCCCCTACGACTGCTGCAGACTCTCCCAGCTGGCTCAACCGTGGCCGCGGCCACGTCTTGTACCCTCTTCTCGCCATCCTCTGCGTCGTCCTCATCCTTCTCTTGTGCCATTACATGTGCCGGATCATTTGCAGCTGGAAGTCTCTGCGCTTGAATGAAACCTCCACGGTCGGCCCTCCCCATGGAGCCAGCTCAGCTCGAAACGCCCGACCTAATCCCGCGACGCTTGCGTCGCTACCGATCTTTGTGTTCTCGATGGATGGCGACGAGAAGCTGGAGTGCAGTGTGTGCTTAGCGGAGTTCAAACAAGCGGAGAGAGGGCGGCTCCTTCCAAGATGCAACCATAGGTTCCATGCCGACTGCATCGATACGTGGTTGCAGTCGCACTCCACCTGCCCCATCTGCCGCTCGGCCATCGAAACTACAGCTCCCGACTCGGAGGACGCAGTATGATCGATGCTTCACCTCTATTCAGAGTGAATTGATGTTAGAAGAAGCATAAGATCTTGAACAAGGTTTTGAGATTGAACTCGTAGCTTAAGATGTTGTATACGCCGTATCTTTTCTATCTGATATATACAGATCCTGCATGATAAATGAAACCTCGTCGTCGTTGCTGCATGCATCAGCTTGTGTTTCTCATGAATCAGTCTCCGTATACGTGCATATTGTTCTACTTGTGTTTGCTGATACATGCATTAACCCATGGCTGTTTTCCACTAATTGTTTCATTTCTTTGGTTGAATACTGTAAGACACCTCCAAAACTCCTCCTCTACATTCGTGCGCATAGAAGAACACACACCAATACATGCTTATGGTTGATGAAATTCTTGACATAGCTGATTCAGAATCAAACTCCTGACACTTTGATCTTGCAATTCTTAAATGTTGTGAACTGATATATTTGATCAGATCATTGTGCTATACTTCCAAGTTTACTGTACTGGGTTACAATGAACAAAGAGTCAAAAGAAAACTAGAGAGATACAACTTGATCGTACAAATCACCTTTATCATTTGATAAGGCCTTTGGCAGAATGAATCCAAATAAGCAGTGTAGTTATTATCTAATGGAGTAGGATTCAGATTCATCCTATGCTGGTACATAGCACCGGATCTAATTTATTCGTCTGTAGTGCTGAGTCATAGAATGAACTAATACACGACCGGGGTGCCTTTTTAAATGTTATCACTTGACATAGTATGACTGCGAGAAAGAAATGGAGTTGGTGCATCCCAAAGTCAGAACATCGAACGGTGATTATTGTCTTGATCAAACCTTCCAAGAATGGTGTATTTTATATATATATATATATATATATATATATATATATATATATATATATATATATATATATATAATGGAATACCTCCATACTTCGAAATAAGAGCGTGTAGGAATCCTGTGCGTTCTTTCATGTAGGTTAAAACGTTCACCGAGGTAGCACCATAAGAAACAGAACATTGACTCTAATATTCTCCATCACCAACTCAAAAGACGATAAGGATGACAAGGAAGCTTCAAACATTCTCCTTCTAGCGAACACAATTAACTTAGTACTGTAGCACGAATAATCTACTTAGATCATAATGCATGAGAGAGAGAGAGAGAGAGAGAGAGAGAGAGCAGAAACATTCAAAACTTGACATTTTTATGTAGTCCAACAAAAAAGGACTCGCTGACTTCTGTGTTGGGATTCATTCCTTGCAAACGAGAATTTGCTGGCATATGCATATAATTTATTAAGCTAATCGACCATCTTCCATAATAAAACAATGTCAGCGGCAACTATGAGGAGTCATCAAAGCAAGCTGCAGGATTCCTCTTCCCCTGAGCAAGAGGAACTGAGGAAGTCTATGGCGAAAGACTTCGGCGTCGTCCTCATACTGTCCCTCATTGCAGTGATGGCGCTATCTGCTTTCTGCATCCCCTGCGTCCTGAGTTCCTTGAAGGAGTGGTGGGCTCGTTGGCGGAATCGCGGAACCACCACGAACGATAACATCTCCGGATCTGTGACCACCGCCGCCCCTTCTCCCTATGGCCTCGACCCGGAGCTGCTCTCAGTACTGATGCCCGCTCACATCTACTCGGCGGCCGCCACCCGCGAGAAGCAACAGTGCGCTGTGTGCATAACGGAGCTTCGGGACGGAGACGAGGTGCGTCACCTGGCCAGGTGTCTACATCTTTTCCATGTGGACTGCATCGACGTGTGGTTGAGGTCTCACACGAGCTGCCCGGTTTGCCGGGCCATGGCGTTGTAAGGTCTCGTTGTCGCATGAACAAATCGTCGATCACCACCACCTCATGCGATTGTTTCCTGGACGCCCTCAATTACCTTCATACGTACCGAAACTTTCCTACTCGTCCGACTCTACCTTTTAGTTTAGCTTAGAGATGTCAATTCATAATCAGACCAGATTTGATCGAGGAATATGATAATTTTTATATAATTTCCAAAAAATCAATTGGGATTGCGACGACGAAGGTCTCATTTCGGGGTAAAGGAGTAGCACTAGAACTCAATTACTTGCTAATGCACTTTGCGTTAGAACAAATGCATACAATTACTACTAGGCAAGTGCGCTTTAGGGTAAAGAAAACCTGAATATGGAACTCTAACATGTCTATCAAAAACCATTACTATTTTCACCATATTGTTTAGTATTTTTTGGTCGTTTATTACTTCATGAGACACTTGATTCTTGTGATATGAGAGATTGAATTGCAAGAGCATGTCCTACACTTCCAAACTGTGCAGTCTAGCATTTGGAAGCTACAACTGTTCCAAACGACGTTCTTAATTTCCAATGATTCTTTTGACTACTTAAATGAGATCTACAACATGCTGTCAGCTTCAGCTCTCAATGGTCTGTAGTCGATTGTGCTACGTAGGTTAAGACATTGAGAATAGAAGAAATAAGTACAGTGATCCTTCATTAGTGCCTCATAGAGGAAAACAAAAGAACACAAGGCATCACTGTCTGAATCATATTTCAGAAAGTATCAAGTTTGTGCTTATGTAAATTACGTTAATGAGAACAGATGAAGCTTTACCTCTTCAAAGCCCAATTCTGGATATAATTGGTTGTTTGAAGTCATGTAGATAGTACATGTTAGGTCAATTCAAAATTGATTGTCCGAGCTGGATATTGATTTGGAGTTAATCTATACTTTCTTCCATGTTCATCTCAGTTCAATCTCGACCACGACTTGTTTTTCTAATTCTGGGAGTATCGATCCTTGCAAAACTATGTTGAGGTCACTTTGATAAATGTCTCATTCGATGTTTAAGTTAGTCTGGAGTTCGAAGAGTTCGGACGAGACTTGAGAGTAGTATTCAAGAGTGTTTAGCGAACATATCTAGAGAGCCTTTTTATAATAGACTCTCTGGATGGTTATTCCTATGATCGAGGTCAATCATGGGGGATTGTACATTTATCTCGAACTCAATTGTGTTAATGTCATACTAAATACTGGATATAGTTGATAACAGTCAAGATCTATTGTATTTCATTTCTATCAATACTAACGTCTTACTGATTCCCTCGACCATATTATTGTGGTATAATTGTCATCCTCGTGCAAATCATGTGTTGGTCACAGGACACTAAGGTGTCATAATGTGATATGAGATATGAATTATATGATGTTAAGATATTGATCAAGGTGTCGACATATGATACTAAGATATCGATCAACGTGTTAACCAAAGTGTCCGCCACCTATATGCTTTGAATGGTGAGAGATGACCTCAAATGATTCCGAGTTGTACTGTCCTTTGAATCTAGTCATCTTCTACTTACATCTTCCACCCCTTGTCTGAGCTCTTCCGTCTCCAATACTTCAAACATCCATCTTTTGGCCCAAAACGAGAGATCACCATAACACCGTCGCCATCATAATATTGGCCATTAATGTTTGCAGCTATCTTCTGATATGGCATCCTTGCTTGGGTCTGTCACTCCATGAAGAACTGTCGGAAGAACAAGATCACCACCTGGTCTTTCCGCGGGAGGCCGTCAATGTAGCGGCCGAGTCCCGCCACCACCACACCGTTGCCTCGTGGGCTCAGCCGCGAAAGGATCTCGTGCAGACGTGGGAGGGAAGAATGACTGCGCTGTGCGTCTAAAGGAGTTCGACGACGGCGTGATGGTGCGGCGCCTCCCACTGCTTCCATGTTCGGTGCATCGACGACCGGCACTTGAGTTCATGCGCCTCTTGACCTCTTTGTAGAGCTACTGTTGATCCTCCATAGTTAAGTGTCTAAAATCTGGCTGCATGTGGAGTCTTCACTCCGTTGGCAAAGTAGGTGCTTCGAAATATCATGTTTTTGTGGACCTTCCATGCCGAGTCTCTCGGCTGCATCTACCACATCGTTCACCTTCTTCAGGGTGAGATCTTCTTGATGAGATATTTGCAATTATTTCTTTGGGTTTTCCCCCATTCTTCTATCCCAAAAGAAAATTGTTTTGTGGGTAGACGATTCCTCTATACCAACCCAATAATTAATGGGGGCAGGTTCATCATGACCGGCTTCACAGGGATATGAAACCCACGAAGCAGGGTATATCTATCATTGCTGACGTGTCAAGCCCCGATAGGATCGCAGAGTGGAGACCACGAAGGCCGTGGCCCACGCCAACAATGAAATCGATGGAGAACCTTATCTTCGAGTTTTTATATGTCACGAGGATGAAAGGCGGACGGTTCCCGCGTCAATGGTTTGGCGTCAACGTTACGGAGTCTGATACAACGACACGAAGGCGGAAGGTTCCATGTTGCAACATTGAGGACAAGCTTTAATCTTGGATTCTCCTGTACTGCGTGTGACTCCTCTTCGTCCCCATCTCGTCGCTAGTGGAGTTGCTTTGTAAGTTCATTAATGACCCCTCATGTCATCACCGAACTTGTTGATTCTTCTCCTACCAAACATGTATATATGTATATATATATATGATTAACAAGTTAGGATTAGGATTTTATTAGTAGCTAACACCAGAAATTGCACCACTTAACATCACATGCGCAGGACCACTCAACGACCGATGAGGTGGGAATTAACCAAGGTGAATTGGCATAGGGTTTGATTAATTGGGGGGTGATATTAAATACCAGGTGGGCTTGGCAAGTTAATTGACATGCAGCAACACATTCACAAGGTCAAGCAGCAAGTCTTCTCTCCTCTGGTGATACTCAACAACTCTATAAACAAACATCATCTCGGGGTCTCCCAGAAACCACCAGTCTGCTCTGAATGGTGGCTGCCAAGGAATGCCTGCTCTCTTCTTGATCATCTTGTGGATCTTCTGCACGGTCATATTGCTTGCCATCTCGTACTCCTGCCTCAGATCCACATGTGATCCTCCGCCCGGCGACCGGACTGCAGCTGCTGCCACCAGTACCACCGCAGCCACCTCCAGGATGCGGAGCTCTAGCACCGCAGCCAACACCAGCAGGACAGCCGGCGGTGGCGCCGGTCGGGATGTCCTCTCGGCGCTGCCGGTCTTCGCCTACTCGACGGCGCAGAAGAAGCTCAACTGCTCGGTGTGCCTGATGGATCTCAAGGAGGGGGAGAAGGGGCGGTTCCTCCCCAGATGTCTGCATGTTTTCCATGTGGATTGCATAGATATGTGGCTGGCTACTCACTTGGACTGCCCCGTCTGCCGAGCTTCGGTTGATCCTGAAGCTCCTGAACTTGCGGTCTGAGGTTTTGGTCTCCAAGAATTCTGGTTTTCTCACTGTAAACGTCCTCAGATTGCCAATACTGTACGAACATCATGCAGGAATACAGAAGATTTGATCGAGAGATGGGAGTAGTTTTCTTTCCATATAAATTTCTTTCCTTCTTCTTCTTATTCATCCGTATGTTTCTTGCAAGAGGTCTCCTCCTCTTTAGCAAGAGGAAGAACTCTTACCGACACTGATTTTGTTTATTTTCCATATATTTATTTCTTTTGCAATCTATTTCATTGCTTGGTTGTGATGGATGGAATAGGGAATTAGCTGGGTGGTCCAAAACTCTTAATCTAACTTGATTCTGACCGGCCATGGGACTGTGTCCTTGTGGTGGACTTGACGCCCAAACCTGATATGGATTGACCAAAATATCTTAATTTTTGGCTTGCAAGGCTGGAATCCACCCTCGTTCTCTCTTTGCTCCATGAGGACTATGAATAGACAAAAGGACATAACTTGATGATGGCTAAAATATTTGAAGTTTTAGATATATATATTTAATTTTTTTTCTTCTGAAAAATATGTTTTTTTAATTTTATATTTGGTATTTTATTTTCCTCTAATACCCAAAATATCCTTCTTACGCTTTCAATAAATCAAATTCCATTTACAGTCTGTGCATTGGTCCAATATGATGAATTGATCTACACGTTATAAAATAATTTACTTGAGAAATGTTCCGAACAAGACAACTGTGCAGACCAATCTGTCGAGTTGGTCCATCGCGGACGAGAATTATTTTATTGAAAGATGAGAGAGCCATTTAGTGTATTAGAAAAAAAAAAAGGTAGCAAATGAAAATTTTGAAATGGGAGATATCATTTGAAAAAAAAAATAAAAAAGTTTTACTTAAACTTGATATATATATATATATATATATATATATATATATATATATATATATAATTATTGAAAAAGATTTTTAATTTTGAGAATTTCTCGCATAATGCACCAACTTTAAAAAATTTTTACATAATACCCTTTTTCATCTAAACGACTATTTATCCTTAGTCCCGTTCATCTTATTGTCATCTTTATCCTATATAATTTTTATCATGTTTATATATAATCTTCATGCGAGGAACGAGGGGATTTGAGGGTCATCACCACCTTCACGAATCCTACAAAACGTTGTTGGATATGTCTTTATGCATGCGGAGGCGACGACGGGTCCGATGGGGTTCATAGAGATGGTGGGGCAAGGGCTAATAGGTGGGCAAGAGAGGGGCGGCCTCATGCAAATTGGAGAGTGGTGGCTAGGCTTGGGTTTTGGTTTGTTAGCCCTTTATGTGAGGGCTACAAGTGACAATGATAAGGGTTATGTGTAATAAGCCCTCAAGCAAGAGATATGAGCAGTGATGGTGGCTCTCACATCTTCTCTTTCCTCATATGAGGCTTATAGACAATGCATGCAAGGGCTGAGGCTAGTGGAAGCAATGATTGGTCCAATGGTAGTAGGGGCAAAATTATATTTTTCATGTAGCAAGGAGCTCTCTATGTGAAATTAAAGTTTGAGGCTTTTTAATATATATATTAAAATTTTAAATAATATTCTAACTTTGAGAAATTCTTATAGAGTATCCATTTTTAAAAAATAAACATTCTACTTTTATCAACCTTTGCCAAGAGGCTACGCCTCCGCCCTATCAGTGCCCCTCACCTCCTCCTCCACTCCTCCATCTTGAACAGTTGCCCATTACTCGTAGCATAGGTATAGTTGTGCACGGAGGCCTTACTAGCCATAGATGCCCTACAAGCTAATCATGTAAGTGATGGCACATGTGACTTGACACGTAGTCTTTTTGCTTATTATATTTTGGTATTTATCACTTTACATTGCATATATATATATATATATATATATATATATATATATATATATATATATATATATATATATATCTGTGCAATGAGAATCAGATTGTGATGAGATCACGATAATGAGACTGATTCGCCTTTAAATACAGATCCTAAATAATCTCGGTCATAGGTTACTTGAGAGGAAATCGAGATAACTGGACAAACTAGTGTGTTGTATACCCGTCCAGATGATGGATGCAGTTGGTTTCATAGCTACTCGTGTAGGGACACTAGGGATACATTACAGGTCCTCATTGGGGAATGAGTTCACTGATTGATCCGCTTACGGAATACTGAATGGTTGATGATGCCTTATTATCAGACAACGATTCCGTAGTCTCAATGTGTATCTAGTCCTTAGACTTAAGATATCAAGAATGTCCTGTATGAGTGCTCCACTATTTGATATCAAACTTATAGGTTTGGATATCCCAGATCTAGCACAGCCGGTTATTAGGAGTAATAGTCAACCTTATGAGGGCTATTGAGTGTCGATAGAGGATCATCCACTCTCAATGTCATAAGAGGAATGTCTCATGTATTTTTGCTCAGACAAATCCCTAGCTAGGGTCATTCGGATTAAGAGAGAAAGAGTTCTCCGAGAGAATCTAATCAAAGCATGACTTGAGTAGAAACCGTATGGGTCTGACAGCACCATGCTCGGTATATAGTCTTTGGATATTAGATGGATGAGGGACTATAGGTACATGGTAATTTAGGACAGACAAGTCCAATGAATTGGATTTCCCTATATCGTTTGGGGACTACGGCGTAGTGACCTAGTACGTTCGTAGTCGATGAGTCGAGTGAATTATTATGGAGATTTTAATTCATTGAGCGAGAAGGAGTTCTAACATGTATAACTCACGACCAGCTCGATATTGGGCCTAGAGGATCACACACATATGGTAGGCATTGCAATGAGTAGAGATTCGGATATGAGATATCCGTAGGAGCCCATATCTTATTGAATATACAATAAGCTCATGAATTATTAGATCCTATGGATGAAATCCAATAAGAGCCCATGAGAGATTATTGGATAGAGATCAACTAATATAAGAGGCTTGGGTAGTTGGATGAAGAACCAAAACCCAAAAGGGAAAGATCCATTAGGGTTAAGTTGACAAGAGACCTCTATAAATATGAGGAGTTCAATAGTTTATAGGCTGGAGCTTTTTGCTTCCTCTCCTATTCCCCTCCCCTTCTATATCTTAGAGCAGGCTTAGAGTTTTGAGGAGTGTCATCGCAGCCCTGCTGTGTGGATCACCGCTAGAGAGGAGAGAGCTAGACTTTCTTCACCCTCTCCTAGAGATCTGTAGAGATCCAGGGATATACGATCTCCCTAGGTAACATAATCTATCTCACATATGATTTTCTATTTCGTAGATTTTTACGCATCAATCTTCACACGACGTTAAACATATCTTTGAGAATTGAGGATTTTATTTTCTGTTCTTCTGCAACGTATACGTATGTGATGTAGCCCCAAGATTTTCTAACAGGCCTCACCCTCATTAGACCTTAGTAGTAGTTGCTTCTATCACCTGTAGGCGAGGAGGAGGGTGAGCGGGAGTGAGGGGCAGCTCCTTGCCATCACAAGCCTCCTTACTATCGATGGTTGGTGAGGAGGGCGAGGGGGTGGCTGTGCATCCTTGCTATTGATCATAGGGGCCGAAGGAGGGAGGGGGAGTTGAACTTCTCCATCGTCACTCGTAAGCCCTCTCTCACATTATCAACCGCGACTGCAAAAAGAGAAGGGGTGGCCTATGCAACCTCATCATCGCTCACTAGGGAGGAAGGAGAGGGACACCCTCATCATTGCTCGTAGGCTCCCCTCATCATCAATTATGGGTAAGAAAGGAGAGGGTGTGACTCATGTAGGGGGCATTACGATGAGGTGAGGGCGACTGCGGATCTGACTGAGGCAAAGGAAAATAATCTTTTCACATGACCAATGATGCTCTACCATAATTTTTTAAAATTGGAGGGCTACGTGAGAATTTCTTAAGGATATAAATTTTTTTTTTGAATTTGCCCTCTATATCATGACCCGTTTAATTCGGATTAAGATATCTTTCAATTTCAAAGTGCTATCATTGAACCCGAAGAGTGGGGCCATGGTGGTCATCGATGGCCTTTCGAATTAAACGTAACCTAGATGGATCCATTGTCAGATATAAAATATGTCTAGTAGCCAAAAGGTTTCATCAACAGCTAAGTGTTAATTTTAATATAATTATTAAACTAATGATAATTCGACTTATCTTGAGTTTGGCTATCACCCAAGACTGGCATATATGACAACTAGATGTTAATAATATTTTTTCACAAGAAATATTAATTAAAGATGTATTTATACAGTAACCTCATAGGTTTATGCACCCTGGTATCCAAGTCATATTTAGATTACAAAAAATTGTTTATGAACTTTATCAATCTCCAATAGCCTAGTATACCTAACTTAGCTCAATTTTTATATTAATCGGCTTCAATTTTAAGTTTGACACATCTTTATTCCTACAATAATAAAAGAGATATATTATGTATCTATTGATCTATATGGATCATATATAATAATTCTATAACGATCAAATAATTCTTTAAGCAATTGACAAATCGATTATCCATGAAATATCTAAGAACCTTGAGCTACTTTTTATGAGTAGAAACAATATTTATGGATTTTTTCTATCTAAAAAATAGTACATTCAAGATTTATTATCAAATACGAATATGTAGAATACCAAATAAGTCACCACCCTATTCCCGACCATTGAGCCACTCAAATTATATGATGGCAATACTAATCCGGATGCCACACAATATTGACAAGTACTTCGTTTCTTGTAGTATTTATCTCTCATATGTCCAAATATTTCATTTGCAATCAACAAATTATTATAATTCATCTATCAACCCTCTACGACACATTGGTCTATACTAAACGTGTTCTGTGATATCTTGAAGGAACTCTCAATCTTGAATTTCTCTTTTATAAACACTTATCACTTCGTCTCCATGCTTTTATCGATGTTGATTGAGCAAGCAACACTGATGATAGAACATTTATGTGAGCTTATATTATCTTCTTTGAAGCAAATCTAATTAGTTAGAATTTAAAAAATAAAATAAAATCATAAAATTAACCATTGAATCTGAATACTGATCCATTATTACTACTAGTGCAAAATTCATCTAGATCACCGATCTCCTACATGAACTTGATATCAACTTCCAATCCACTTCTACAATATACTATGATAATATCAATGCCACCTACTTGTGTGTCAACCCGATATTTCACTCATGCATAAAACACACTGCTATTGACTTTCACATTATTAAAGATCAAGTTGTCAAATGTCAGGTATGTATTTCTCACGTCTATACTTCTGACTAACTAGCAAACTCCCTTATAAAGTCTTTCGCCGATAGGATATTTCAGTTGCATCGATCAAAAATTAACATCTTGATGAAAGTTCAATCTTGCAGGTATGATAGAAGACCATGATATAGGTAAATATGAAATGATAACTTTACATTATTTATATATTCTAATCCCCAATCAATCTATCATTTGAAGATTAACCACGTATTTGAGTGCATGATTTAAACACATAATTCAAGAAAGTCTCTCTATAAATATGTATTTTCCTTTTACAATAAATTCTTTTACATATTTATTTACATAGTGATTTACATCTATTGAGACTCAAACCTTCTTCTCAAAAGAACATAATTCCTTCCTCTGTTTTCTCCCTCTCAGCGAGTTACATATATTGAGACACAAACCTTCTTCTCTAAAGAACAGAATACGCTGGGGTATGATGCAATTCTGCTAATATGTAGTACCGAATGCAGCTACATCTGGTTTCATAAGTATCTCAGGAGAAGAACCATTCAATATCTTTATTGAGCAGCAAATATAACAAATGGACGGAACCGTGAAAGAGTTCTACTTGGAGTCGATTCCAACCATAAGTCAATTAGAACAATCCACTGTCATAAGCTACCCCAGTATGCGGTAGCCAATTATCCCCTTGAATGAAGTTTCTGACAGTAAAATTCATGGCGTCGTCGCTGCTAATGACATGGTATCCTGGCCAGGTAACACGGTTGTCCGTGTCGGAACCCTTGCCGGTGTTGTTGTACTCTGCATAGTACAACGTATCCAACGCGAATTTGCCGTTCCATGGTAGCCAGCCCGCAGGATCGATCAACGAATCCATGAATGACTCCATGATCACCGTCCTCGAGTACTTCTTCCACGGCCGGCCGAGGTACGTCTTCGTCGTCCCGTCGCTGGAGGTCAGGTCACCTGCGGCGAGGAACCTGCAGAACTGCATCGACGTGCCAGTGTTCTGGTTGGGGTCGGTCCGGCCTTGCGCCGTGATGGCGTTGCTCTGCCGGTGCAAGGGCAGCCGGGAGTAGACGTTGCAGCTCTGGAACACCACCGCCGCGTTGCCAAATATGTAGTCCACGGTGCCGTAGATGTCGCAGTCCCTATAGAATTGCCTCATGGAGAGGGTGTACAGCGTGTCTTGGTAGCCTTCGATGCTGCAGCCGTAGAAGGTGGACAGATCTGCCCCGTTGAGGACCGCGACCGCCTGATGTTTGATTGGACCGGCGGTGTTTCGGAAGGTCATGTTCATCGCCACGAATCCTTCTCCCATGACGGCTGCAGAGCGAGGATATTACATGGACAAAAGTTCATGAGAACTAAAGCAATTAGGAATCTTGAACGAGCGGCCGCATACCGAAGGTGGAAGAGTGGAAGGTGGTCCAGCCATCAGCAACGCTATGGTTTCCGGTGATCACCGTCTGGTTGATCCCTTCGCCAATCATCATCAAGTACGTCGTATGGTTTGGGATGACGACGTACTCCCGGTAGACTCCGGCGGCGACGTATATCAAGTGGTAGCCATTGCTGCTTTTGAGATTGTTAGGGGCCGATTTCACGGCATCTCCGATCGTCGTGAAGTTCCCACTGCCATCTGGGCTAACAACCACCACGTCGTGCACAAGAACGGAGTCGGTGGCCTGAAGGAGCCGCCGGCCGCTCCACCTCTCGAACAACTCTCTCTTCGGGGCCGACATCCTCAGCGGCAGCTCGCCGTGCCGACCAACCCCGACTTCGTGGAACAACAGTGCCCTCCTGTGGGGGGATCTTGAGTGAGCCTGGCCTTTGTGGCTACTACACGTTTGTTTTGGGATCCAGTTCTTGAAGAGCGAAAGGGAAAGACCATAGATCTTGCTGCAGACGGACAGAGGAACTGTGCCAAGGTTCCTAACGAACCACGCGGACGCCGCCACTTGCAGGCCATCATAGCAGGTCTGGTGGTTGGTAAGGATAGCTGAGAGGATGGCGTGCAACTTCTGGGCTTGGTGGTCGAGGAGGCAACCGGTGTCGTTCAATGTATTTACGACCGCCGTCAGGAAGTCGACGTTAAGGCCCGACAGCAGCCTGCAGTCTTGGAGCGCCAAGATGGCGTTCGGCGGCAAGACCGAGGGGCGAGCGAGGAAGGTGTTGATCGAGTCAAGCATCTCTTTGGCACTGGAGAGCGACTTCGCGAGGGATAAGCGACCGTAGTCGTAGAGGTTGTGGAAGCCTCGATGGGGGAGGACGGTGTTGCAGAAGTCGGGGTCGAGCGTCAAGTTGCATGCGGTGGAACGGTCGACGGGAACAGACGGGAGGATGCTGGAGCGAGTGGGACGAACGAAAAGGTGGGAGGAGGAGAACAGGAGGAAGAAGGCAAAGGTGTAGTAAGCCATGTTTCTTCCAAGTGTGATGCAGAGCTTCTGGATCTTCTTCGGATGATGGCGATGGTGAGAGCTTCCATGAGGTATATATAAGCGGCTTGTAGGAGCTTTACGGTCATTCACGTCCACATGAGATGTTGTACGGTGTTGCATTGTTCGGCAGCATAGGGATCAGATATCTGCAATCTTAATTGTGCCATCCCATCTGCAGATTTGACCTCAGAAATCCGAGTGCTGATTCATCACATGAGCTGCAAATTAATGGGATCACACAGTAAACAGGATGTGGAGATTTCTTGCAACAAGTCGTGGAAAACTTATTAAAATAATCAGTTTTATTATATGGTAATTCCATGTGCTTATTGTGTAATTTTATTGTGTATAATTAATTCCTCCCACATTTACAGGGTTAAATCTAATTTTATTGTGCATCAATGACTATTCAATTTTGAAGTCATCCAAATGCTGTATCTATCATAATAATTTTGATGTCAACTTTGTCTTAGCTACAAAACATGCGATGGGAAATGAAATTGTGGCCTCTTCGACTTGACAACTCTCTGAGATATTTGACCAGACAAGTATTCCATCTCCATGTTGTTAATTTGGCTGCACATATGTACATCTGTGTGGAGAATCCTCTGTGATCTGAGTAAAGTTGAGGAGCGACACTGATAGAGAGATGGATTTAGTAGCTTGTTCTTCGAGTGTCATCATCATCACTCTATAGATTAAATGTAGGCCCAAGGAATTCAAGAGTTTTCTTTTTGGAATATTCAGAACTTATAATTGATACCTATTAAACTTTTATTACTTTTTTTCTTATTTGATTGTTGTTCTCTCTAATTAATTTAATGGGATAAATTGCTTAATCAATATCCCAAGTCGAACAATCTTCTTAAAATGTATATTTGCTGTAAAAGCCTCCCCAAGTATGATTCAGAGTCCCTAATTAAGAATAGTTGCTTTTCTAATTTCCTTTTGAGAGACAAATATGAGATAATTTTTGAGAAATATGGATTCTATTTCACACTAATTAAGAAGTGGCTATAAATGAACTTTTAACGTCTACAGGGATCTCCTTCATCTCCGGGTGAGTCAGCCCAACCTACTGTTGTACGCATCCCTTCTTCCTTGATGTGTTTGTCTGCAAGAGGAATCAATGAGAACACGTGAATGGCCCCTTTACTCCCCCTCTCTCACCCCTCTTTCACTCCCGACGCAAACAGCCCTTCCCCACCTACTGCAGATGAGATGAGATCTCCATTCCTTTCCAACAAGAATAGTACACCGTAGTATGACGCGCCGACAGGTCTGTAGATATGGATCGTAGCGTTCGCAGTCCTACTTAACCTGCCTGCCTTCGCCCCTCTTTCTCAACTCTGAACTTCCACTTTCCATCGTCAAGATGATCACCTTGCCGACACTCTGCACGACTAGCAGCAGCAGGAGCAAACTCCTCCTTTCGTGCGTCGCCTTCTTCTCTCTGTTTCTCCTGCTTCTAACGTTGTCCAATGTGTCAAAGCCAGTGCCTTACCACCACCGACTCCATGTACATTCACACCTCCAAGACGCCACAGACCACTGTGACGGCACCCTGTACCCCGATCTGTGCGCCTCCACACTCTCCACCATTCCGGATTTGCATTCCAAGTCCCTCCCTGAGGTCATCTGCGCCACCATCAATGCCAGCGAAGCCGCCGTTATCAAGTCCGCCAAGAACTGTACCAAATACCTCCACCACCACAACTACACCCTCGACACCCGCCAACGCTACGCCCTCACCGACTGTCTCGATCTCTTTTCGCAAACTCTCGACGAGCTGCTCGACGCCACCTCCGACCTCACCGCCAACCCCGGCTCCCACGTCGACCATGTCCAGACACTGCTCTCCGCCGCCATCACCAACCAGTATACCTGTCTTGACGGCTTCGCCTACGTCGGCAAAGATGGCGGGTACCGTTCGGTCATTGAACAGCCGCTCTACCACGTGTCCCACCTCGTCAGCAACTCCCTCGCCATGATGAAGAAGATCCAGCGGCAGAAGCCGCCGCATCCGCGAAGGGAGGCTTTGGAGGGGTATGGGGAGGTGGCGGAGGGGTTCCCTGTGTGGGTGTCAGGCAAGGACCGGAGGCTGCTGCAGGCTGCGGCGAACACCACGACCCCGAACTTGATCGTGGCCAAGGACGGGAGCGGCAACTTCACGACAATAAGCGAGGCGGTGGCGGCGGCGCCGAGCAAAAGCGAGACGAGGTTCGTGATATATATAAAGGCGGGGGCATACTTAGAGAATGTGGAGGTGGGGAAGAGCCAGACGAACCTGATGTTCATGGGCGACGGCATCGGGAAGACGGTGGTGAAGGCGAGCAGAAATGTGGTCGATGGATGGACCACCTTCAGGTCTGCCACCGTCGGTAAGAAACCTTTCTCTCCGTGTCCTCTTCCCAAAATTTCTTATTCGATTATTCTGCCACCTGACTGTACTTCTCACTATAACACTAACTTAGGTCCATAAAGATCTATCCACTTTCCAACTAGCATATCTATAACCATGTCGGGATAGGAGATCTAACAGTGAGCGTTTAATTCGGAAATCGCTGGCGGTCACTACAGCCTTTATGGTAGTGCAGCTAGAATTCTGTATGAACCCGAAACATTAAGATATGTAGGAGATTTAAGTACACTATCGGAAGAGAACTTGCACAGTCAAAATCTACCATGCAACATTTTGGGACGAAGGAGGAAAACACTAGTAACCCTTCGATCATTTAAGTGCCACATTAAGTTGAGGACTCCAGATGAGTCCGACAGTGAGTGGTTCAGTCTAGATAAAGTAATCAGGCTATAGGTACTTAACATCTTGTAACTGAGTATTAACTCTTTGCTCTTGTTTCTGTAGTCATTTCTGCAGTCCAATGCTCGTGATCCACTGCACTTTGTTGTATTATTGAGGAGAGTGAACAGCTAGCCACACCTTTGTCCTCTGACGCGGAATCTAGAAATTATTGGACGCGGTTTAGTTCATGTAAACGAGTCCCACACGATACAGTAAGCGTTACCAGTCGTCGTGGCACACGGCCTCATACTTTGTTAATTCTCATCGTGGTCCGTCCATTGATGCATGGCGTGTCCAAAGTACACATAGCAGAAACGGACAGAATAGCAAGTTTCCATTCATTTCATGGTAACCAAAAGGCATGTCGGTCACCGAACTAGCTTTAAGACGAGGGACAGCAAATCTATGGCCGTGTTTTCTGCATCCAGATCCAAAAGAGAATATAGATTTAGATCCTCAAAGGATAGGGTTGCATTATAATTATAATAAATCCATGTATCACGGGACCCGAGAAGAAGAACGTGCATGTTTTCTCATGTCAAGAGAAGCTGTCGCATGTCGGTTTGATTTGCGAGAAACATGCTAATTGGCATCTAATAGTGATGTTTTAATTGGATCATGCATGATTAATGATTTATATGCAATATAATGATTAAACAAATCGAGTTGAAGGATTTATGTGGGTGGTGAAGAGGGCAGTCAAATGGTAGATGGAGTTTCTTCTACTGTTGCTATGCTTCTGTAAGTTTTGTGTTACTATATCCTTGGCAGCTATCGTCGGCAATGGCTTCCTCATGCGGGACATGACCATAGAGAACTCAGCAGGCCCCAGCAAGCACCAGGCTGTAGCGCTCAGGGTGGGCGCTGACCTCTCCGCCTTCTACAGATGCAGCTTCGTGGGCTACCAAGACACCCTCTACGCCCACTCCCTGCGTCAGTTCTACAGGGAGTGCGACGTCTACGGCACCATCGACTTCATCTTCGGAAACGCCGGAGTCGTGCTCCAGAACTGCAACTTGTACGCCCGGAAGCCCTTATCCAACCAGAAGAACGTCTTCACGGCGCAGGGCCGCGAGGATCCGAACCAGAACACCGGCATCTCGATTCAGAACTGCAAGGTCGCGGCGGCCTCCGACCTGGCGCCGGTGCAGTCCAACTTCTCCACCTACCTCGGCAGGCCGTGGAAGGCGTACTCGAGGACGGTGTACATGCAGTCGCTCCTGGACAGCCTGATCAACCCGGCGGGGTGGCTAGAGTGGGACGGCGACTTCGCGCTGAGCACGCTGTACTACGGGGAGTACATGAACCGCGGGCCGGGATCGAGCACCGCCAACAGGGTGAAATGGCCGGGCTACAGGGTGATCAACAGCTCCGCCGAAGCCAGCATGTTCACGGTGGAGTCCTTCATCGAAGGCGATCAATGGCTGGGATCGACCTCCGTCCCTTTTACCGCAGGGTTGAACTAAGTCAACGGCGTTTGCATCTTTTCTTGACCGAGTCTGCCTCATCGTCGTTCTCCTCCGATTGAGTGTGATGTACATCGGATGTGTGGAATAAAACGTTTCTTTGGAAGCGTTGAAGCATTCTGCTTGTTATGGTGACATCTTTGTACCGCAATCTGTTTTCAGTTATATGATTAAGCGCTACGAGTCTTTACATTGTGGGGTATGTTGTGGTATAACGGTAAATAACTCGACCGTCGAAGCCCCTCAATTGGCCCGGCTGTAAGGCCAGACCGAACCATATCACATGTGGAGTAGTGTGAGGCTTCGGTCCAAATTGGGTTTGATATAAACCGCCTATTTGTCCAAAGCCGGCCCGACCGTTGGGCCTCTGCCCGTTGATCACATCTGACCGTTTCTATTCAAATGTCAACCCACGGGTTTGGTTCATCTGATAGGAAAGGACCAGTAATTGGACTCTTTACGTTCCAGTTTGGCTTTTAGATCAGAAATGTCAAGGAAATCGTTCAACATGTAATTTTTCTTTTTGCGATTTTGTTAACTCCACTATTAATTTCAAGTGTTGTTTACGTTCAACATCTCTCCCATTTTAATTTATACGAATAATGTCGTTATTTAAGGCAAATCAAAATTGATCATCAAATTAAAAGTAAAATTAAAATTAAAATTATTATTATTGTTGTTGGTGTTGTCGTCGTTCCTTTCGATATGGTCATGATTTAAGGTGTGGAATCTGCCTTTTATTACTTAGAAAATAAAAAAGAAAGGGGAAACGAAGGCTTCTGCTACCGAAGTGGGGCCCATTGGAATCACACAATCATTACTTTCTTACTTTCCATTTGATTTGGTTGGTCTTCAGCTTTCTCTTTTCTTCTCTCCTTCACCTTTCTTTCCTCTAATCCTGCCGAGATCTGCTCGAGGAGAGAGACAGCACCACACCCCAAGAGGAAAGGAGTAGAACAAGCAACTAAATCCGCCATCCACGGCGGAGACAAGCAAATAAAAGCCTTATATGCCTTCAAATTGCGGCGCCCGAGGTGGTCAAACGAATTGATCTTTGGGAGGCGCAGTGGAGATATACCGCCATGAAACTCAAAGGCTTCACACAGAGAGAGAGAGAGAGAGAGAGCGTGTTAGTGGGGTCACGGCATATTGGACACATGAGACAGCACATGACCCAAACCCTGAAGCCTCATGCAAAAAGAGCAGCCCAGCATAATGTCTCTCTCTCCAGTCAAATCTGTCCTCTATCTTTATTCTCCTTTTTCTTTTGTATTTTTTCCTCCCTCTCTATGTTTCTATCCCACAATGATTTTGTCAACATGTATACAACACTGTCATTTTATGAGAGATTGGTGTCGAGCTTCCGCTGCTACAAAGAAAGTTCTCTACAAAGATCAATATTCAGAAAGCTCGTGTTGTATGTTGCCGTCTTCTAAGAGGAGAATTATGAGCAAGTAGCCAATATTTTCTTTCCATTTTGGTTCTCTGTTCTATCCCTTACTGTAGCAACAGCTAATGGGGTGCATGTAATCGAGTAGAATGGTGGTTGGGGTTGCGACACGCGATGTTGCGCTTTTGACCCTTTGGCAACACTGTCAGCTCACCGCATAGGATGCGCTCTCTCCCTCGCAGTGGTGGAAGGAGACCAACCAATCCCTAGTCACTTGCCTTTTCCTAACTCGGCATCCATCAGAGCTTCTCCTTCAAATCGAGCCTCGTTTGCCCTCATCCAAATGCCACAGTCGTCCTCGCTAAGGAGCATATGGAGCAGCATTAGATAGGTGTTCTTGGGGAACGCTCCTAGGATTCTTAGCTTAGGCGTAGTTAAGAGTCTTGGAGATGTCTAATCATGTATAAGCTCTGGTCATGCGTTATTTAAGCCTTGCATATCCCTGTGTGGTCTCTCCCATTGGGTGTCACAGGATTTGGTAGGATTCATGTCTGTCACCTACTGCTTGCTCCAAGTAGCCAGCAGGCAAATGTAAGCTTCTGTAGAAAAGTGACTGACGACTGACTGACAACTGAGTTCTGAGTTGAACAAGAGAGCAAGGCATCACATGTGAATGTGAACCAGTGCATCGGGATACATGAGAAAACTGAGATTAAATGACCTTTTATCAAAGGGAAATGTATGGATTTGTGCTCATTCTTCGATGAAAAGAACACACAACTTCAGAACAATTTAACCTGCTACGCCATTAATCCATATGAACACATCTAGACTTGGCGGCCTTATTAAATGTCTAAGCCGATGTCGTTAAATCTGCAAACTGCAACAGCAAGAGGGAATAGAAGCGAGGGCATGTTCTTTCATTTGACCTGTTGGTGCAGTGAAATGATATGGTGGATTTGAAGGTGTGAAGCTTTAAAGTGTTAAAACTAGTGCTAATAATAATGGCAGAGCAGAGGAGTAGCAGAGTGGTTGCTTTTGGCTCTATAAATGGGGCTCTCTTCTCAGAGCTCCTCGGCTGTGGTCGTGGGCTCAGTTTAGTTGGCTTCAGTTGAGGTTGGTTTTGGAGGCCAATGGCTCACTCCCGTCCTTCGTTTCTCCTCCTCTCACATTTCCTTCTCTCTCTGTTTGCTTCCGGTGCCATTGGCTCTCCAGGCCATCATGGGCCTGCGAACCACAACTACCGAGACGCACTCTCCAAGTCCATACTCTTCTTCGAAGGGCAGAGGTCGGGGAGGCTGCCTGCGAACCAGAGAATGACATGGAGGAGGAACTCTGGCCTGTCGGATGGCTCCGCCATGAATGCAAGTGCTCTGGACTTCGTTCTCCTTCTGGTTTTGGTGTTGCTTGTAGGAATCTAACTTCGTTTCCTGTTGACAAAATGTAGGTGGACTTGGTTGGTGGGTACTATGATGCAGGGGACAACGTGAAGTTTGGCTTCCCCATGGCTTTCACCACCACCATGCTGTCTTGGAGTGTGATAGAGTTCGGCGGGATGATGAAGGGTGAGCTGGAGAACGCCAGAGCGGCGGTCCGTTGGGCCACTGACTACCTCCTCAAAGCCACTGCTCATCCGAACACCATATATGTTCAGGTTCAGTTCTCCTTCATGATTCCCTGTTCCTTTGCCTCCTCTTCTTCCGGCACTCTCTGTTCCTTTCTCTTGGTGAAGACAAAGCGGTTCTGTAATGGAAAAAAATCCAAGCTTGTGATGGTTTTAAGAATAGAAATCCGATACTTTGTGTCACGTAGCGATTGTGTTGTCGATCTGTAGGTGGGAGATCCAAACAAGGATCACGCTTGCTGGGAGAGGCCAGAAGACATGGACACCCCAAGAACAGTCTACAAGGTGGACAACAGCAACCCAGGCTCCGATGTCGCGGCCGAGACCGCCGCCGCCCTCGCCGCTGCTTCTCTGGTCTTCAGGAAATCTGACCCAGCTTACTCCAAGCTTCTTCGGAACAGAGCTATCAGTGTAATATAGCTAAAACCATCTTTCAAAAGCCTATTGCTACCAACCAAAATATTCCCTTCCAAACACTCTTATATTGGGTTTCAGGTGTTTGAGTTTGCTGACAAGTACAGAGGTTCATACAGCAATGGGCTGAAGAATGTTGTCTGCCCCTTCTACTGCTCTTACTCCGGCTATCAGGTTCCTTTCTTCTCTTCCATTGGATGCAAAGAGCATAAAATCTCCCCTTCTCCACCTCTGTTTTCTGGTATAGACTATAAACCTCTGTTTCTTCCACTGGTCAAAAGGATGAGCTGCTTTGGGGAGCAGCATGGCTTCACAAGGCCACCAAGAATCCGACGTACCTCAACTACATCGAGGCCAACGGTCAAACCCTCGGCGCTGACGAGTCTGATAACACCTTTGGGTGGGACAACAAGCATGTGGGAGCCAGAATCCTCCTCTCCAAGGTTAATATGACTCCCATCAACCTTCCACTATTGTTTTGAGTGATGGGCTGTGCTTATAGCTGTTCTTCTTCCGGTGGCCTTGTTACAGGCCTTTCTGGTCCAAAACCTGAAGTCTCTGCATGACTACAAGGGCCATGCTGACAACTTTATCTGCTCCCTCATCCCGGGGACACCCTTCTCGCAGACCCAATACACTCCAGGTTGCCTCTTTACCCCTCTCCCTGAAGAGATACGTCAACATGTTTTAAGCTTCAGCGAAGTGATCTGAATGTATCTTTGAACACAGGTGGGCTGCTGTTTAAGATGGGTGACAGCAACATGCAGTACGTGACCTCCACCTCCTTCTTGTTGGTCGCCTACGCCAAGTTCCTCACCTACTCCTCCAAGGTGGTCTCTTGCGGCGGCACCACCGTCACCCCCCGCAAGCTCCGCTCCATCGCCAAGCGACAGGTGAGTCCTCCGTGCACTTAAGCCATGGGGAATGATGTTCTTGCATCGGTGCCCTGCGGGATTAACCCGTGCTGGCGCTAACCCCGTTTTGTGTGGCCGGTGGCGGCGCGGCCCAGGTGGACTACATCCTCGGCGACAACCCGCAGAAGATGTCCTACATGGTGGGCTACGGCGCAAGGTACCCGCAGCAGGTGCACCACCGGGGGTCGTCCCTGCCGTCCGTGGCGGCCCACCCGGCTAAGATCCCGTGCTCCGCGGGCTTCACGGCGCTGTACACCTCCGCCCCAAACCCGAACCCGCTCACGGGCGCCGTCGTCGGCGGGCCGGACGCCATGGACCGGTTCCCGGACCAACGGTCAGACTACGCGCGGTCCGAGCCGGCCACCTACATCAACGCCCCCCTCGTCGGCGCCCTCGCCTACCTCGCCCACTCCTCCGGCCAACTCTAATCCCGGTGCTACGTAACAACTAAGTAGCATAGCCTCTAAGTCGAGCTTAAGAGCTTCGTAGTGTGCGATCAAGGACCCCGGTGCAGCTAAGGAGGCCATCGGAGGGTTTGTTTCTAGGTCTAATTTGGGTCAGTAGACGATTAGGGAGACTGCTGTCATCTATCTATGGCTTAGACTCGGTGTTCAATGTTGTGCGCGGCCTGTACTACACAGGGCAGCCTTTGACCCCCAACCACTTTTTGGGGCTTCTACTTCGTCTGCGTTACCACTATTAACATGGCGTGGGGTTTGTCTGTGTTAACCATGAGTTGATGTTTCTAATTACTTATCATGATAAGGCTAAGTTCTTCACAACCGGTCTCTTGCCACAGCCAATGAGGAACACTTATCCCGGTACCAAGTAGCATGTTGAATCTCCTGTCATCCACTCCAGAACGGGAACATAAGATGGAATAGTATCCTCTCTCTCTCTCTCTCTCTCTATGGATGTCATTGGACCATCAAGCCTCTCAATTACAGTGGAGACGAAGCTGAACTATCAGTAAATATCCAGGAGAAGTCATTTGCCAACATAACTGTGTAGGTTAAGTATCCAAATAAACCTTTACTGTAAGATGTCAGTGGTTAAACAATCTTTGGTTGCCATAACATGAAAAATGATAAGCTATTCCATCAAATCTTAGATTTGATTTGACATCTGAAATCAGAGCACTGTAATATGCTGCTTGATTACCAGTTTCATGGCAAAGCTCTTTGCGACGTTCCATTGAAGATGGATACTCACATCTGAATCAAAAAAGTAGTGAGGAAGCAGACGCAGGGTTTTGATTAGTTGAGCAACATGTGAACTGCACACAGATTTTGCCCCCACTGACGGAAAGAGACTGAACCATATGCAAGACCCAAGCATGTGATGTGGTCCTCCCTTCTTCTTCCTGTCATCACTCACCAGACTATATGCATGTCTCCCTGTGGAACCGAGCCAAGAACAAGGGTGCAGCGGCTCTTACAACATGGGAGCAGCACCCTGCAGTCTTTTAAGCCCCCTCTTTCTCTGTCAACAATGGCAGACCAACAAACATCCCACCGCAACTCAGCTGAGGCAAATCCACTCCATCTTGGCAACTATCCCACATACTAAAGAAAAAGAACCAAATACATAGAAAGCTGCACACACATTATTGACAAGTAGAGAGACCAGAGGACACGAGAGATTCCTGATCACCACACGGAGTAGTTGCTGAGAGCAGCGTGGAGGGACGCAGGGCAGTTTGCTTTGACACCTTTATCTTTTCATTTAGTTAATGCAGCTTTGGAGTAAGAGGCAGCAGAAAAGTCAGACAGAGCATGGGATGAGGACAGTTCTTTTTTCGCAGTACAAGGTGCCATTCATTAATGTCTTTTGATCTCGGTGTTTGAGGATCCAAAGCAGTAAGAAATGGCTAAGAATCCATCTATTGAAGAAGAAAGTAAGTGAGACAAGAATCTTGAGCTTCAACAAGTGGGCAGATGCAGGATGGGAAGTGAAGTAATAGCATTCACGGATACATAGCACCCATTGATCCACCTCGTCAGCCATTACTGAATCACAATGCAAGCATGACCATCTGCATTTTGTGAACAGAACATCGATGGAACAGTCAACATCAGAGTGCTCATAGCAAATTGAGAGAACAAAAGGAACACTAGAGATACAGTTCAACTTGGCCTTCCCTCATATCCAACAGCTACAGAAACACTGACATTAGATCTCACTTTACCATAGCATTCGTCCTTGCTGTGGAGCTTATGATACCAGCAAGACAAATATATTGCTGAAAGAGAGAGAGACAACAAATAATCTTTTCAAAAGAAAAAAAATATTTTAACAATGCTTGTCAAAATATGATTAGTTAGTATACATATATACACATAGTCTTAGCACTTAAGCCTTTTAATTTTGTTAATAATACTTATGAAAATCTAATTATTTTTCTTATGTATACCTTTCTTTAATATAAATATATACGTGATATATGTTGGTAGAGTTTCTGGAATTTCTGGGAGTGAAATTTTAGTTCATGGACCAAATGCCACCAATGTTTTCTTGACTAGTTTGTTAATTTAACATTAGAAGTTTAATTAGCATTGTGAGTTGTAACAAGAGACTTTGAGATTGAGAGAGATGTGATGAAAATGAACTTTTAATTTTTCTTGTGAATTTTAAATTTCTTTGTTCAGTTTATATTCATTTTTTTAGTCGGTAGAAGTAAGATTCCATAACTGTGAATATATCTCCTACATTATTATCAAAGGTAGATAAAGAGAAGATGAGATGTTCAATTTATATTCATGTTCTTGTTGTCTCTTTTAGGTTTCGAGTGCTAGTGATGGAGAGAAGAAAGACTAAAAATCAAAAGAAAAACTTCGGAGATTAACAAGCAAAAAACTTCGGGTAGATTCCATAACTTTGAATGTAACATTTAATGTAGTTTAGTAAATCTCTGTCTATGTTCATTGAAAAAATCATATTTTTTAATATATAAGATCAAATATAAGATTCTTGAGTTATCTTTTACATCAATTTTTCTCTCAATTCTTTTTGGAAATCAGCAATCAAAGTGTCTTAACTCTTTCTCTCGTTAAGACCAAACTCAAGATGTGTATTTATAGGAATAAACCATAATTTATCAAGGAGTTTTAATTTAATTAAAACTCTATCAATTAATTTAAATATAATTAAAATTTCTAAAAATATTTACCAATCTTAACAGCAAGCAACTACATCATAATAAGACATTCATATCATACAATATACAAACTTTTTCGATGTTTTTATGTACATTTCATTTTGATAAAACTTTGCTATGAATAAGATGTGATGAAAACAAATCATATGTACATAAATGTGGTAAGGGTGTGTGCAACATATCAATTCTTGAATCTCCAATTAAAGCACTCGCATATGTCCCATTGTGAATTGGTCATCCATCTCGTCTTCCTTCCTTTGCCAATCCATGACACAATGGTGACGACCTACACTTTGCTTTTGCCTATATCCACGTTTCCAACATGCACATCCTCATCGGCGATAGACTTGTTCCAGAACCAATGCTTCTCCCACAGTAGCATCGTCTCTTCGGTCGGCACGTTCTTCGTCTCGGCGAGAAGAAAGCAATGAATAGCGTCATGGCCAAAACCCATCCCCCGAAAAAGTAGAAGAGGCCGAACTTCAAGTGGCAGAGTGCCGTCAGGAACACTTGAGCGATGATTAATGTGAAGAGCATGTTGCACGAGACTGTGATGCTCGACCTGCCGTTCGGATCTCCAAGGGAAAGATCTCACTGGGCACCAGCTAGCCAAGAAGAGGACGATGAGGCTCGCATGTGTCTTCGACAGGTTGCTTGCTTGAATTTGAGTGTAATCAGGGTGCCTACAATCAACTACAACAAGAAAGATGGCTCGCTTAACCGTAGCAGATAAGAACAGAGCAATGGCAGTTAAAAGATTTATGGATCTTCTTCTATATGTTACTACTGTGCACTCAGCAATATTTGTGTGGTCGTCAGCTGTAATAGCTGACTAATGAACATTCGTGCACCGGCCTGCAGAAAGAGTCGGCGCCGTCCCGACTTATCCACGGTCGCGATGGAGACAAAAAGGTGGCGAAG